TGCGCGTTCTTGAATCCGCTCTATTTTTCTACTGTCAGAAGATCTACAGTTATGCCAAACCAGATGGCAATATGTTAAGTGAGGCAGGATGGACGATTTGAAGATTATCAGTTTTGCTTTGCATGGTATCAAATTTCGCAGTCTCAATAAGACACTAAATTTTTGACTGGCTTTTATGCAAATATTACTGATATGGCTGGTGAAATTAAGCTTGTCATCTATTTCAACTCCAAGTAATTTAATTTGCGAAGTGTTGACAATGATCTGATCTTCAGTCTGCAGGGCCTCAATCTGTTTATCTGAGTCAATGTTTCTTGGATTGATAGTAAGACATTAAAACTTCTCTGTGTTGGCAAGTAGAAAGTTATCCCTGTACCATGACATGGCTAACTTTCCATGATATTGTAGCCTGGAATATGCGATGTTGTAGTCCGACCCTGTTACATATAACTGATGGTCGTCAGCATACATGAAAAGGTTTGTGTCTTTAACCAACATGGTCATGTCATTCTGGAATAAGTTCCATAATAATGGACCAAATGAAGATCTCTGAGGACAACCACGTGACATTTTAGACCATTCACTTCTAATATTGCCTGGTTTTACACGACTGTATCTGTCATTCAGAAACGATCGGATTAGATCCAGTGATTGATTAGTGAACCCATATGCTTTGAGCGTTCTTGATGACTAAATTGTGACATAGAGAGTCAAAAGCCTTACTCATGTAAATGACCCCCAGCATTGCAGATTCACGGACTAAAAACAATTACATAGTTTTTCAGATCCAGAAGCTACTTTGGAGAAAATTAGAGCCCTTACTCGGCCGTAATAAAAAGCTTTACTCTTTAAAAGAGGTCAAAGAATATGCTCTTGCATCAGAGGGCAAATCCTGCCGACCAGACACAAAAACCAAAGCAGATCGATATGTGTGCCATCTGCTCGAATCTGCCATGACTTCTCAATGTGAAACAGGCGGCTTAACCAGAACCTTCCAGAGCATAATCTACCCAGCAGGAGGAAAAAAAAGTTAGTGGAACAAACAGCATCTTTAGCATAAGATAAAAGTCGTGTAGGCCTATCACCTCCTTTCATTGCTACGAAAGTTGCAGGTCAGAAGTTGGAAGTCGGAAGTCGGAAGTTGGAAATCGGAAGTTGGAAGTCGGAAGTCGGAAGTTGGAAGTCGGAAGTTGGAAGTCAGAAGTCGGAAGTCGGAAGACCCTCCTCGGCTTTCGTACAGTAACAGTAAAGAAAAATTATCAGCAATGTCAGGAAAGGGACTGGAATCTTTACTTGGGATTGTTAAAGTAACTTCAGCAGTAAACACTGACTTGAAGTAGCTGTTGAGTACATTTGCCTTGCCACTATTTGAACTAATGACTCGTTCTCCATCACGCAGGGGAGGGATACTAAAATATTCCCTTTCACGCACACTAACACAATTTCACGCGGTAAAAGGGTCAGTTACCACGGTAAAAGCGTCCCGTGTCAGCCGCACCTATTACTACGTATATGATTAAGTGTAAATTCCGACCGCGACGGCACGTTCTTACTCGATGGCACCGGGATGAGCTAAATTTTAAAGCAAATTGAACAAGTGACTTTAAGTTTTGTCGATTTCATAGTGAGTTATCAGGAACGTGTCACATCGAATGTGTAGTAGTAAAACTTGAAACCGCGTTTTCGAAAGTTTCCGTTTGTGGCCGTCATTGAGCATCTGAATTCCAAAAGAATCCGTAGGCCACTTTAAATGCAAGTTAAGTTTTGGGTAGTGTATCATGCAGTAAAAGAAAAAGAAACTAACTGTTTCAATACAAACTCACGTGCTCCTACTGAGTCATGAGAATTGGCATTTGCGAACAAACCCAAGAAAAGATCTTCAAAGTAAAACTTTGGCCAAAATTTGTAAAAAGGGAAATTACTGCCACTTTCTGTGGCGTTGGAATACGGATCACTGTGACATTAAAAAATGCGTGTGTTCAACCCCATACAACAAGCTTTTCAACAATCAATTTTAGCCTGCGAGAAAGCTCTCCATTTGGGGTAGTCGCGAGAAGTCACGTGAGAGCAGAACGCGACAGGAGACGCGAGTGCAGGGGACGGCCGCTCGCTCGCGCGTTCCCGCGGCTCGCTTTGCTAACCATACATCACCATCATCGGATACTCAGCACTTATGCACACAAACACTGCATAGAAACCCAAATTATCGGACGAACCGTTCGCCATCGAAGGACCGGACCCCTCCTCCCCCACCGGCCACCATGAGACAGAGGACCCCTCCTTCATCCACCACCGATCATGAGACAGAGGACCCCTCCTCCCCTGGCGGGTGGTACTCTGTCTCCCGGGGAGAAGGGGGTGGCGGGTGGTACTCTGTCTCCCGGGGAGGAGGGGGTGGCCGGTGGTACTCTGTCTCCCAGGGAGGAGGGGGTGGCCGGTGGTACTCTGTCCCCTGAGGAGGTGAGTGGAGGATGGTAAAACGAAGAGGCTCCCAAGGTCGGGCCCTGATATGGCCACACCGCTAGGATACATCCCTTTAGCTTAAAGCTAGCAAATAGCCAAGAAGAAAATATTTTCCTACTACATAACCAAAATATTTTATTGTCTCATGCTGCAGTGGCTTTTACAAAATGCTCGAGCTAATAAAAATAGATAATTATTACAAAAGCTGTAACTGATTAAAAGTAGAGCATATCATGAAAGTAAAAATGATACTAATATACTATCACCATTATAAAAATCCTTTTTTTTATAAGAACATTGAGGCTGAAAATGGAAAACAAAGCACATCCTTATCTAACCTGTGATTAGGCATTCTTTCTTTTCAGGGAAGAGTGACACCGGGCAAAGAAAAGGGAAGAAGGACCGCCTGATCACAGGTTGATCCTAAGAACAACACTCAGGCTAAAGTTCTGAGGAGAACATTGTTTCTTTTACCAGTGTCAACATAAAAAAAAAAATTTCCACAAGGAATGCAGTACATGTTTGGCTGAACATTAGTATACTGTGTTCCCCCTCCACATCATAGCTAACCTCCCACAAAGACGTTCTTAGGGCTTTGTCACGCATTCCTTCCCCACGATGGGGAGGACGGCGTGATGATCCAAAAGAACATCTGTGTGGGAGGCCACCTTATCGCTACCCTCCCCAACACATGAGGTAAAAGCCAACTAGGACTGCCAACCCCTAGTCTCCATCAAAGCTGCTTGGACCTAAGTCACGCAATGCTCTTAATGTTCCACGCGTGGGGATGGAGGGTATTGCGTGACTCCACTCTGAGCAGCTGCAGAGACTAGTCAACCCCATTTTATTACATTTAATTTTATAAAATCTAAGTAACAACATTTTGAGGCTCAAAAATCCACCAAATATAAAAATTAATTCCTAGCTCTACCTAAGCTCAAAATATTAGAATGATGTAAAAATAGAGAATATTTTGTTACCTGGCAAAATTCCATTACAAGGTGCATAACCTAACAGGCTCATTCCTTAATTATGGTTTGTAATTTTCCTAACATTGTTTGGGGAATCAAACAACCAAGTCTACAATGATTATATTTTGCCTCAGAACTCTTGATTGTTATAATTCCCAATATTATCCACAATGCAACAACCTAAAATTTTAATAAGATAAAGGATGATTCTAGCACGTAATTACCTAATATTAAAATGTTGTTATTGTCACACGTGACAATTTTTAATTTCACAAAAGCATCCTATCTTTTTTTATAATATTATTATCATACTGTAAAATCCTATTTACAAACAAGCAAATTATACAACAACAGAATTCTAATCTAGATTGGCCATATACAACAACTGCTGGTAAAAATCTTTTGAAAGAAAATTCACATAACATGACTTTTTGTACCAATGCATCATTGTATTGAGTAGCATAAATTCACAACAAAATTAACCACAAAACATCTCTTAAATTGCCATGACATCTGTAACAACTATGGAAACAAAAAAGCACTTAACTCATTCATGTCTTACCAATTTCAAGAATAATTTGTCAGTTGCTAAGTGAGAAATATTTAATAATGCATAATTAGTAGAATTCACCATAAAACTTCCATCTTTTCTAGTTTTTCTCCAATCAAAATCACATATTTCCGAGAGCAGGAATATGTTTAAGATAAAGCTGAGGTGCACGTGTTACAAAATATCAAGAAAATAATATTACTTTCATCATAACTAACAGATGAAGAAGGAGTATGTGTTGAAAAACTCTAGTTGTTTTCTGATTAACGTCTAAATTCTCCTTTCAGAGTGCCTTGTGTTTGCCTATGAAATGAAAGGAAAAAGACAAATAACATGAAGAGTTGCTTAGGCCATATTCCATGCATCTGATAAATATTATGATGAGGTTCAATTCATTCTTGGTTCAAAGGATAAACCTATTCTCAGACGTTACCATACAAATGTTTTGTTTAAAAAAGCAAATTTTAAAAAAAATTATTAGAACCAAGGACAAACTGAACTACAACATATGGAACTGTATGTCAGTATGACATTCTTGCTATAATTCAAAGAAACATTCTAGTGTTGCAGAAAAAGTGTTATTATTAAAATATATAAATTTTAGAAACAATCAAATGACAATCAAAGTTGGACTCTTCCACTCTGAAGTCAGAGATATACATAATTAGTAAATTCCAACTAGTGGTCTATTATCAATGCTGCGCTCTGATTGGTTGAGCTACTCCTAGGCTATATGTTATAACCGACTAGTAGCGAAAAGTGCCAGCTTTTTGGCAGCAAAAGATCGAGGATTAAAGTCTAGCTTTAACTAGCTAGAGTTGTTTTGTCTCGATATTTTTGACCAACTTGTCGGATTTTACTGAGTCAATAACCCATTCGGCCTTTGGCCTTATGGGCTATTGACTCAGAGCCCACTTGGAATCGAGGAATAATTGTTAATTAATAGTTCTTGTAAAACTCCACAGGAGTAAAATATCAAATTACCTTGTAACCAAACACTAACACTGGTCCATGCTCTACTCTTTGGTAATAGAGCCTTTTAGCCTCTTGACACACAGTTCAAGGGTGCTGCTTCTATCTTTGTGTAAACTGATGTGAAGTTCTAACGATCCCTGGTCAGCAAATTCTTTATCACAAACCCAGCACTTTAGTGGCTCATTATCAGTAGTACTCTTTCGTTTTTGTGGACCTATTGCACTAGGTTGCCGGCTTCCAGCAATACTCACTGGCTGATGAATCAGGAAATGATCATAAAGCTTTGAAAGGGTGGGGCATGTCACTTTACAATAAGAACAAGGGAAACATTTTTCCTTCTCATGACTTTTCATGTGGACTGAAAGTGTTGACTGTGTTCTGTAACAGTTGTCGCATAGAGAACACTTGAATGGTCTTTCACCGGTGTGCATTCTTACATGCCCTGCCAACTCGGTAGTGGAGACAAATGCCTTGCCACACTCACTGCACTTGAAAGGTTTGTTGACAATTTTCATTAATTTTTCAATGTCAAGTTCTGCCTCCCCATTGGGCAGTTTTCCATTGACAGGTTTGTCATTTGCAGTATGCGCATTGTGATCTTTTGCTAATGACAACTGCGCCATCTTCAGCCCTGTAGCCACCCTCGCTGGTTGGTCATCAGTAAGTTCTTGATGAGGTTGGTCACTGGCTTGAGAAGCTTGTTCTGTAGTTTGAGAGACATCTCTATCATGATTAATACCATTGTTCAGAATAGAACTATGTAATTGTTGGTGACTAGCAAGTTCTGATGCACTTCCAAAAGCCATTATACAAAGATGGCATTTGAAAGGCAAGTCAATTAAATGAAATTTCTTATGGATAGTGAGATCAGACATTTGCTTGAATGACAAGTCACATCTAGTACATGAAAATGGTTTGTCCCCAATGTGGCTTCTTTTGTGGACACCTAGTTCTGATGCAGTCTTGAATTGTTTTGCACAAAAACTGCACTTGTATGGCTTTTCCCCTGTATGAGTTCTGCAATGAACAACAAGTTCCGATGTTGTTTTGAAGCACTTATTACAACTGGTGCATTTGAAAGGCTTTTCACCGGTATGTATTCTTTGATGTACTACAAGTTCTGATTTCCTTCCATAAGACTTGTTGCACTGATTGCATTTGTATGGTCTTTCGCCAGTGTGAATGACCCAATGTTGAAAAAGCTTGGACTTGAAGGCAAAGGACTTATCACACTGAGAACACTTGTAAAGCTTTTTTCCAGTATGGCTTTCATTATGAGCTGACAACTCATCCCTGCTGCTAAATGACAGTGAACAAATGGGACAGGAAAAGGAATTCTGACTGACATGGCTTTGTTCGTGGACTTCAAGATGATCTTTTGATTTGAACGCTTTTTCACAAACCTCACATTCAACAGTCTTTGCAGCCCTGTGACTCTTCTCATGCTTTTTGACTTCAGATTGTGTCCTGAAATTTTTTCCACAATGTTTGCACTTATGAGGTTTCTCTGCACAGTGACTTTTTTCATGATTTGTAAGATCAGCCTGTCGAAAGTAGCTCCGGTCACACTTGCTACACTTGTACGGCCTGTCACCTGAGGTTATTTTCTTGTGTAAACCAAGCTCTGATGCAGTCCTAAAAGACCTATCACAGTGGGTAACACACTTGTAAGGCCTTTCACCTGTGTGGAACCTGTCATGTACCACAAGCTCAGATTTGGTTTTGAATGCCTTGTCACATTTCAAACACCTAAAAGGCCGCTCTCCTGTATGAACCCTTTGGTGTACCACAAGCTCAGACTCTCTCTTGTAAGTCTTCTCACAATTTGAACACTTGTAAGGTCGTTCACCACTGTGTGTTACCTGATGCAGAAGCAGTTTTGACTTATAAAGGAAAGCCTTTTCACACTGTCCGCACTGGTAGTAGTGTACTGAACCTGAGCGGCTTTTATTCTGATGAACTGGACTCGGAGCTGGTAATGCATCGCCATTCTGTAACTGACCAACTACCTGTATTATCACATGGTTGGTATTGCTTGTTGATGGCTGTGACAGTTTTTCCATAGATTGACTACAATTTTGTGCGGTTTCTTTTGACGCCTGATAAAAGAATATTCATAAGTCAAGACATAATATCAGTGCATAACCAAATATCAAACAAAGCCTCAAGTCACAAAGTGCAATATTTTAAAGGACTTCAAAATTTTAATGAATTAATTTTTCAAGTTTTATTAAAATCACCTCTTTTAAAGTGTGGTAAAATTAAGGGTTAATAAATAATACGCAAATAATTTGCTCCTGTATACTGAACATGATGAAGTTCACCTTACTAATTGCGAGTCACGGAATGGGAAGAAACAATATTATAGTCATACGGTTCATTGAACCATTTTTCCTTCTCCACTGGTGCATTACAAATCTCATGGGTCTTCCTCAAGAAACCTGTTACAAAAGTGCAAAAGCGATCCAGTCCCCTCTAACCTGGGCTGAAAATTGGCAGCAAATGTCAACAAATCCCATGCTATACCTGCATATGTCCCTAGGGTCACACTCTCCTCCGTGCTGGCAGCTGATATGCGCATTACTACGCGACCACTTTGGCTTCACATGAGGGTGAAATATGGCCACTCCATAGTAATTTCAATGTACAGTCAAACACTGCTTTATGGACACCCACTAAAGATGGACACCTTGTTATTACGGACAGTTTGCTTTGTCCCTTAGGAAAGAAAGCCCTTACATTTTCTCTACATTCAACCCTTTTTATATGGACACCCTGTTAATACACACACTGTCTATGGACCCTCAGTGTCCGTATTAACGGAGTTTGACTTTAGTTTGTCTTCGAGGTTTGTTCAAAATCACTCGGCAGAAGTATAAACCAAGTGTAAGACATTACCATATTCAGATCAACAAAGCTACAAACTCAATTCACTTGTGAAAACAATGGCAGTTGTCCAAGAAGGATGGCCAGAACACTGTGTAAAGACTGCACAAAAGGATACCAAGAGGATATACTGGTACCGTCAAAGGCACGATGACAACAAGCAGAAGTGTGTCATGAATCAAACAGCGGATCAAATGAAAGCGTGATGTTTTAACACAATATTTATAAATCGTCGCTATTTTGCTTGGCCTACTCTTCGCTTCGAGTTTGATGAACTCAGCTTAGCTTAGGTGTATGTACGAGTATATATTTTTACGTCACCACGAATACAGAATGTTGGTTAGAATAGCAAGTTACACTCACTACGTTACTTCAAGTAAAACAAAGCGTAGCGTGTATAATATTTCAAGTGCTCCGATCCTCATAATAAACACACAACTGCACACTGATTTTGCTCCTTCTGACATCTCAGTAACGACTAATAAAAGATAAAAACATACACGATCCCACGACAGCGTAATTTCTGTATAAAGGTGAATTTCGCAAAGGAAACAAATTTCTTGGGAAAAGACTTTCTCGCTGATTTCCTTCGCATACCGACACACAAACCTACGTCTGCACGTTGAAAGAATCTGTTTAAATAAGGACAAATTTATTCAACGTAGCTTATACTATTAAAGCACTTCAACATACCTTAATTATGCGTTGCTTCACGGATATCTTCAGTCTCTAAAAATCTGAAACACTCTAAAACATCGGATACCAACCGGATACATCAGAGGAATCCGTACGCCATACCCACTTGTAGCACGAAATCGAGGCCAACGCCTTCCTTTGTTCAGAGGCAGGGGAGGGGAGGGTGAGAGAAATTTGGCCCTCGTAGTTTGATCAAAAATACAACACAAACAACGGTGATAGCTCACAATGTTTATCACCGCTGTTTGTATTTTATTTTTGTATTTTGATCTATTTTCGTACTTGCGACCACTCCCGACCAGCAGGTACGGGTTGTTCAAAGCTGGGTTAAGATAACCCAAGGTTAGTGCGAAATTTGAATTCTGATATATCAGTTTAATTCTTTTTGCATATATAATTCGTTAATTGAATGCTCTAAAAATAATTGAGAAAATTTTCCCGGAAAATGCTTTTGAACAAAAGAAAAAGAACCCGTATCAACATTTAACCTCGGGTTAGCGCTAAAAGGCGTTCGAAGAACTGGGCCCAGATCTACAATCTTGGACAGAATAAAATGGAACAGCAAACCTCCATCCCCCCAAATCAACAACAACAACAACAANAGGGTGAGAGAAATTTGGCCCTCGTAGTTTGATCAAAAATACAACACAAACAACGGTGATAGCTCACAATGTTTATCACCGCTGTTTGTATTTTATTTTTGTATTTTGATCTATTTTCGTACTTGCGACCACTCCCGACCAGCAGGTACGGGTTGTTCAAAGCTGGGTTAAGATAACCCAAGGTTAGTGCGAAATTTGAATTCTGATATATCAGTTTAATTCTTTTTGCATATATAATTCGTTAATTGAATGCTCTAAAAATAATTGAGAAAATTTTCCCGGAAAATGCTTTTGAACAAAAGAAAAAGAACCCGTATCAACATTTAACCTCGGGTTAGCGCTAAAAGGCGTTCGAAGAACTGGGCCCAGATCTACAATCTTGGACAGAATAAAATGGAACAGCAAACCTCCATCCCCCCAAATCAACAACAACAACAACAACAAGTTTATTCAGAATTACCATTTCTATACGTTACCGATTAAAATACAATACATAAGAGACAACTAAGTCTATGATAGTAAAAACTTAGATGAATAGTGAAAAAAGGAAATACAAAATAATAGTCCATTTCGCAATTACACTATGCAGTCAACTCTCTCGGATAATCCGGGAGGCTCCAGATTTTGGACCATATCTCCCTAAAAAGGATTTTAAAGAATCTTGGGGAAAGCTGTCGTCGAGTGCCTCGGAAAACTTACTTTTTAGTCTGCGGTGCTGAAAAGTAAATGTACTAAGGGGTAACCCTTCCCAACAATCTTATAAACAAACTACAAGAAAAGGAAAGAGAAGTCAGTCAGGAAACATTTGACCCATTTGATTCTAAATGTTATGATTTTAGTAAGTAATCAGGGGCGTAGCCAGTCTTTTCTCCTTTTAAGCCCGAGTCAAATAGAGGTCCTGGGGGGGAGGGAGGGGGGAAAGTAAACATCGACCTATAAACAATATTTTACAGCACAGCCGGTCGTTCGTAAAGTAAAGGAGACAAGTAGAGATTCATTAAGATGGGTTGGATTTTTTGAAGTTGCATTTGAACATCGATCAATGCAGAAAAAAAAGTAGTTAACCAGGGCGTGAAACTGACTTTTTTGTAAGAGCCACTAGGCTACTTAATTAATATTTCAAAGTGGTGGCCAGTTCAACAAAAAACATAACCAAACGAAAAACCTAGCGGGTTTTCCGAGGAGATTATGGTTTGCTAATATTATTTAAGAGCTGAGATAGTTTGAGACCCACTAAAAGTCGGAACGAAATTTTAACCATAAAGATTGGAATTAATCTACTCGAAAACCAAGATGGTGTTCAAAGACACTGAAGACAGATCACTTTCCTAGTAAGTTATGTGCAAGATTTGCATGCAAATCGCAGCAACAGACATTGAGTTGCAAGCAGTTTCACGTCTTTTTATCTCCCACTTTTGACCCAAATTCTTGTGAAGCCCGAGCTGAATGGCTTAAAGGCAGCTACGCCACTAGTAATTACTCTAGAGTGGTCTTACAAGTGAGATCCCATCACTCAGACGGCAAGAAGACTATCTTCACAGAGAAATGGCTATAAACTGTGAAGATTGTTGTGTTCTTGGTGTTGTCGGTTGAGTAGCATTGTTTTCTAGTTTGAACGCCAGGTAGAACCAAGTGTCAGCAGCAAAGCAATGTACTCGTGGCAAAGAACGACTAAAAATGTCAAATAGCTGACTAATGTAGGTTGAAAATGATAGTGGAACCAGGCCGCACCCTGGAGGAGCGCCGAAAAATAAGTGGAGCCAATTTGAACATGTTTATTGATATTTCCGCGGAGAATCACAGTTAGGTTTATCAACGCTATAAAAAACAAACATACTTACGCGATCTAGGTTGCACGTTAGTCGCTTTGGTAGCGGCGTGTAATAACGCTTAAAGGGGCTGTGTAACGAAATTCAGCCAAATTAGGAAATTACAAAATGCCCGTTAAATTGAGAGAAACGTAAAAATAACCGCTTAAAACTTTAAAGGAAGGTTAAAATAACATAACAGAAGCAACAGATGCCACGGATGGGCAAAACTGAAGAAGGTTGAATCGGATTGAAATTAGGATTTTTGAAAACTGTTCAGCCTAAAAGCTTTTCAGAGTTGATCCCTGCTGCTTGCAACTTCAAGAATAATGCTCAGGAGACATATTTGTTTGTCTCGGATCTCGAATTTTGTCATTAACATGTAATTTCTTTGCTTACTTTAAGTTCTATAGCGATTGAGGGCGAGTAATTCGCAAAATTAAACAAAATGGACTGGACTCACGTGACACAGCTCCTTTACTAATTAAGGATAGCTGAGTAAAACAAAAGATGAATTGGTCCCCGACCTCTGCCGCACCAAAAACTGCTGGAAGGTTTTGACAACCGAAAAAACTACCCACTGAATGGGCGTTTATAAGTGATAGCTTGATAAAAGTCATGAATATAACAAGACCGGCGAAAAGTAGAAATTCACGATCATCACTCAGACGCTAAGAAAACCACTTTCGAGTACGTCAAAAACTGCGATTAACAACGAAGACTGTTTTTTTCTTGGGGTTGTTAGTCTGCGTGGTTTATACTGCTGTGGAAACTCAGTTTATTTCTCAATCTGGATAGTATCTTATACGCAACCGGCCTTTCTTATGACTCTGCGGGGCATCTTGAGCTTTATCTTTGCTGGGGTAATCTGAGGATAAAGAGTAAAGAAAAAGGCCTCTCAATACAAGAAAACATCATTTACGAAAAGATGTGGCCGAGATAAGGAAAGAAATAAAAAGCTGAAATAAAACAACTTACTCGCTTTTTTGCTTTATCGAGGGAGGGTGATGAATTTATGATCAGTAGGAAAGGTTGACAACATCAAACTGTCCGGTTAAAAGTCAGGTATATATTTCCACTCGATTTCAAATGCATATGCAAAAAGTTGGACTGGGATTGTTTGATTCCTCGCAGCTTTCCCGCTTTATTAAAATCCTCTTCTGCAATTCAAGGAAATATTTACTAGTTTACAAAAATAAAACTCGCAAGAACAGAACAATTTATCCTGTTGGCTGCTGTCAAGTGGTTGTTAGCTGGTTGGAAAGAGGAGTATCTCACTTCTGTGTGCTTTACCCTCCCAAAATTCCTTTTCATCAATCATCGATCGATTTAACGACGTCCCAGGGGGGTACTCCCTTATAAGGGCTTAATGGGGACGTGCGGACAGCCAGGGTATAGTTTTTCGGGATTTTTGTCTTAAACAGGAATCGAATTTATCATTTTTTGTCTTAATCAGGGTATCGATCTATCAATTTTTGTCTTAAACAGGATAAATGTCTTAAACAGGGTATCAAAAATCGGAATTCTGTCTTAAACAGGGTAGGAAAATCAGCGATATTTGTCTTAAACAGGGTCAGGGTATGAGGGGC